TATATATATATATATGTATATATATATATATATATAATACTTCAGAAAAATAATTATTTTTAGTGGATACTCGTATTTGAGTAGAAAATATATTTATTTTCTCTCAAAAACTGCAGAACTTATTACATTTATTAAAGCAAATATGTTTTCCGGCAGTGCTCTCATTTTTCTGAGTTCGTGAGTTCGAATTTTGTCGCAGAATTAGCTTTCACGTGTGTTCAAGACAGGAGACGAAATAAATAACGTTTAAAATAAGCGGAAGGTCTATCCAATTATGGATATCCAATAAACATAACATTTCAAGTAAAAAATTATGTTAGATTAAATTAAATATATATATATATATATATATATATATATATATATATATATATATATAACATTAATCTAATGTTAAGTATTCGAAAATGGACAGTGGAAATAATTCATTTTATATAATTTGTACGTAAATTAATGTTTTGAATCTCTTAGAAATTCGTAAAGAATCTTGTTTTTGAAATAGACGTTCATGCAATCGACAAAAGAATCACACGTTTAAGTTACGCGACCAAAGATAGTGAAAAAATATTTCATGTATTTTATCTCATTTGGTTCACGGAATCAATAGGTTAATAAGTATAACACTTTGGCAATTAAGTGCTAAATGAATAGAGTTAGTTTTTTTTTCTCGTTAACTAATGTAACTTTAATTATTATTCTAATCTTCCATACATAATGAAGCAAAAACATATCAAACATAAACTAAATAAACAAAATGAAAAATAAACAAACAACAAAATAAATATTTGCATTTTTAAAATTTTGTTTACAATTCATTTTCTCCGTATAAATTTGTTGGTTTCGGGTTTTGCCCATTTTTCATGATTTTTAAGTAATTGGAAGTATATGCTAATGTATGGCAGATAGCGTGACTTTATATGCAAGTGCCTTTTCTGAGAGACTTTTAGGCGTGACATTCAATTGTTAATTTTATCAAACCAGCCGCAGGAGGAAATGCACGAAAATTCTTTGCAGAAATATGGAAATATAGACAGTGGTATAACCTTCAATTTACACACACACACACACACACACACACACACATATATATATATATATATATATATATATATATATATATATATATATATATATATATAAAGAGAGATACACGAAAATTCTTTGCAGAGATACAGAAATATAGACAGTTGTATAACCTTAAATTTGCATGAATATATATACATATATACAGAGAGAGAGGAGAGAGAGACACACACACACACACATATATATATATATATATATATATATATATATATATATATATATATATATATAAGTATTTACACTCGCTCTATCTCTGATATTGGGCACAGAAGAATTGTGATGAAATCGATCAAAAACGAAAATGACATGTTCATCATTAATTAATTAATAGCTAAGGACCTGAAACTCATGAAAGATTGAAATATAGATCAAATATATATATATATATATATATATATATATTATTTTATATATTTTTATAAAACATTTTCTCGTTATATACACTATTCTTTATTTCTTACCATTTTCTATCATTAATATCATTGTTTATATATTGAAGAAAAAAATCTAATGTGAATATTTTATTGCAATGAATGTGCGGGTTAGACCAGCTATATATTTCATCTCTTCTTCTTCTTCTTCTTCTTCTTTTTCTTCTATCCGTATATTTAATATATATATATATATATATATATATATATATATATATATATATATATATATATATATATATATATATATATATATATATATGTATGTATGTATGCATATATATATATATATATATATATATATATATATATATATATATATATATATATGTGTGTGTGTGTGTGTGTGTGTACGTGCGTGCGTGTCTGTGTACGTGCGTGCGTGTCTGTGTGTGATAAAATATACTTCTATGGTATGCTACGTCTATTGGGCGCGCGTTGTGGCGTAATGGATATCGGCTCGAAATGAGAAATCGTCGAGCCGCGTTCGAATTCCACTCGGGTTCCTTACATCCACTTACACGCAAAAACCATTGAGGAAGTTATGAATCCATTTTATCGCCACCAACTATGGCTTGAATAGCAGAACAAACTGGATTCTATAGCCTTGGTTGGCAACCAGTCTACCTCAGAAAGAAACGGCAAACAACCTCGTGCAAAATCTGACTAGTCAGTCAACAATCGAAAGTGACATAAATCCCAAGCGTGTATCACGTATCGCACCTAACCTATTTATGGGTAAGAGCGCTTTGTGTCCCGTAGTAAATGGGAAGGCAGTATTATGTAATTGGGACTGTCGAGGCGTGATTAACTTTATCTTGGGTGTCACTGCGGGCGGCGTGTGAATGCGTGTAACTATGTTTAAACAGGGGATAAATATGCCACGATAGACATGTCACATCGAGCTTCTGAAATCATCAAGGGAGAAAACTCTGATATTCCATACTTGTGAAATGGTATCAGCAGGAATTCGAGTGTTTATTTCTCTAGACATTTCGTCCCGACTTCGGAAGATTGACGTGAAAGTATTTCAGTTTTTCCTATTACCTACACACCGCACAACGCCCGCTTAAATTTGATGCTGCTCGAAAGCTTCTTTAGTAACTGAGGTTATTAAAATTTTAAAATATCTTCGAATAGAAAGACATGAACAGAATTAGATAGAAATGAACAGTCCAAGATAGATAGGTAGAATGAAACAATAGATAGATAGATAGATAGATAGATAGAAACAGAATGAGTTAGAAAGAAAGAAAGAAAGATATAGAATGAAACAGATAGATAGATAGATAGATAGATAGTGAATACTCCTAGATTGATAGATAGAAACAGAATGAGTTAAATAGAAAGAAAGAAATAAAATGAGATAGATAGATAGATAGATAGATAGATAGATAGATAGATAAAATAGAATCATCATGTTAATAGATCCTACAGTAGACTCAGACCGGAAATAGGACGAGAACAGTGCGGTTTCATTAAAGACACTGAAACAAAGAATGCGATTTTTATGCACCGAATTCTATCAGAAAAAGCAATACAAAATGCAAAAGAAGGCGTGTCTATGTTTTATAGATTATGCAAAAGCGTTCGATAAAGTGCGCCAGAAAAATACTGTTGGATCTGCTAGGTCATCTTGACATAGCTGGAAAGTATATTAAAATAATCCAAAACCTATACTGGCGGCAAATGAGTTTAGTAAATATACAAATATAGAAAGGTGTGTAAGAGAAGTATGTGTCTTCTCACCGGACTAATTCAACCAATATAGTCATACGATTCAAACAGAATTAGGAGTCCTACCAGAATTCATTAATGGCGGCTACAATCTTAACAGCATAAGATATGCAGATTACACAGTCTTGATAGCAAAGGCAGAAAGGAAACTACAAGAACTCCCACAGAATGTAATGAATGAAAGCGAGAAGAAAGGACTAAACGCCAATTACAAGAAGACGGAATGTTAGCAAAAGGAACAGCCCAACATGCAAAATACAAATTGGAGATAACAAAATCAAGCGAATACAGAAATTTAAATATCCGGGAACTATTTTAACAGAGGACTCAAAGAGCAACATTGGAATCTGTTGTGGATTCCGAGATGAAATTCGGTCTCCAATGAATGACAAACGCAAGAATTAAATATAAGAAATAAAATGTATTTACACAATAATACAAAGGGTAATACTGTTAGTAAATCCAGGAACGCGGTTAGTAGCAATAATATATAGATATATATAATCTCGAAGTAGGACTTCCTTAGAGTCTATGTGCTTGTAACTGACTTCTAGAAGCGGTTACCTCACACTATTACTCTACCTCCAACTCAATCACAATCTCAGTCTTCTTACTCTCAATCTCTACTCTCTCTCAATCTCTGTATTCTGACTCTGGGTATTTAACGACAGCAATCTAAGTAACGCTTTGGTCGAGTCCACTTATATGAAAAAGGGGAGGACCCCATAACAAAATCCGAACAGGCATTGGGATAACGAAAGATGCCTTCCAAAAGCTAAGCAAAATATTAAGTAACAGGAAAATTTCGTTAGAAACAAACAAAAAAACGAATATTGAACACTTATGTAGTATCAGTCTTATATAACAGTGATAAATTCGTTGCAGGTGAATAAGAAACTTCAAGCAACAGAAATGTGGTTCTACAGAAGGATGCTGAGAATACCATTGGCCAAACACATGTGCAACGACGAAATTCTAAAGATAATGGAAACAAACAAAAAGGGCATTTGTACTTCACATCAGGAAGAGAAAGTTGAAATTTCTAATGCGCATCATAAGGAAAGATGGCTTGGAAAATTTGCTACTCACAGGACAGATTGCAGGCATGAAGAACAGAGGAAAACAACGCACAACCTAGCTTGAGAGAGTGAGTGAATTGATGGTGATGCAAGTTTTGGGAACGATGGCAAAAAGACAAAATATATTAAGCACTACAAATGACAGAAAATTGTGGAGAGTCATGATCGTCAATGAAGGAGAGACGGCACATAGAAGATAATTGTCTTTGATCCATTTTTTCTAAAAGATTCCTTGTAGATTACGTTTTATCTATGACATTCTCAGCCCCATTTTATACAACGAGGTCTATGATGCTTAGAATCTCGTCTTCATCTGTGAGAAAATTAACAAACTTTATATACCACGCAGGAGGATAAGTATGAGAAGAAAAATGGAAAGAGAATTAGAAGACTTTACTAGATGGAAAGAGAATTAGAAGACTTTAGAAAAAACCGGAAATCCAATTCTAAACAGGAAAAAAATCGAGAAATATCTACTCCTATTCAAAAAACAGGAGTAGATATTTCTCGATATCGTCCGGTGTGTGAACCGGACGATATGTGTTATTCCAGTTTACCGTCTGAGTATGCGATCAACGCAGTAACGCCTGCGTATCCTATGTTGTTAAAACAGTGCCTATCGATAATAAATCTTAGTAGGTCTTCGAGGTATAAGCCTAAGTAAAGCTTACGGCTATATCATGTTTAAACATTGGTTCCTGTATGATCATCGAAGTTAAGCAACGTCAAGCCTGATCAATACCTAGATGAGTGACGACTTGGGAATACCAGGTACTGTAAGCTTGGATGTGCGGTTGGTGTAATGGGTAATGGCTCGGAATTGTTAATTGGAGAGCCGAGGTTCAATTCCAGTTGGATTCGTTATATTCACTTACGCGCAAATATCCTTGAGAAATGTAAACATTTATATCCTCTCCCCAAAGTCTGGGTTAATTAGTAAGACATTTATTATTGTATCATTATTATTACCCCCCCAAAATTCTATTTAAAAATATTTTTTAACCTGCGAAGGGCTGATAAAGCGTAGAATAAAACTTGTCTCTTTCTAATTCTAAATATAAATGTTTTTTTGTTAAAATGTTCATTAAACATTCATGCTGTTTCCATGTCATTGTCGCTATCTATCTTCATCTCTCTTACTTCAATCCGTTTATGAAGATATCGCCCAACATTCAGCCAAATATAAAAAGAAAAAAATATTAAATGGCAGATACGATCTCCTTTCATTGCTTGACACTCATTGTCATTTGTTAAAAAAGCATTTCAACATGGAAAATGTTCATTTTGATGCTTCGTTTTTTTCATAAAGGCCAGATGGCTTACGGCCATATCATGTTGAAACTACCGATTCCCGTACGAAGTTAAGCAACATCGATCTTGTCAGTACCTAGATGGGTGACCAATTGGGAATATCAGGTGCTCTAAGCTTGGATGTGTGGTTTGGTGTAATAGATAATGGCTCAGAATTCTTAATCGGAGAGCCGAGTTCTAATTCCCATTGTTTTCGTTATATTCACTTACCCGCAAATACCCTTGGGAAAGGTATGAATCCACCACTTCTCCCCCAGCTATGGGTTAATGATTAGGGCTTGTATCACTGAATCATTATTATCTCAAAACAGTAATTATTGGAATCGAAAAATATTTTCTGGCTTCAAATAACCTGCAAATAACCCGTAGAAAACAAAATCCAAAATCTTCTTAAGTTATTGGAATATCTTCAATGAACAATTTTATTATTTATTTTAGAATACCTTATTCGAAGACATGTGAGACTTACAAACCTTTATAAAAAATGACAGAAAATTATATTTTGGGTCTTATAAGTCGATAAGCTAATATTTTCCTCGTGCTTATACGAAGTTTAAATCTGTACTGGAACTCCGTAAAATTAAAAATATATATATATATATATATATATATATATATATATATATATATATATATATATATTATTATTATTATTATTTCCATTATTCGGATGTATGGATGTTGGGAGTTGAAACTGAGGTACTGTCCGGTGAATATCGGTTTGCGGTATATGGATGTCTTAAACCCATGCTCTGTTCGAGCTATTAGAACATCCAGGAATGGGAGTGTGTTGTTACTCTCTTTCTCCATTGTGAACTGTATCGAAGGTCTTATTGAGTTCACATGGTCCAGTAGAACCTGAACATCTTCCTGGTGTGGGCAGAGTATGATGGTGTCATCTACGTACCTTAACCATATAGTTGGCTTTAAAGATATAGATTCTAATGCCATTTCCTCAAAGTATTCCATGTATATATTCGCCATTGCTGGTGATAATGGCGAGCCCATATATATATATATATATATATATATATATATATATATATATATATATATATATATATAACGCAAAGAACATGTAAAACCGCTACACATTTGCAGTCGTTTTTTCGAGGCGTATCAAATGCATCTCATCAGACGAATGTAAATTACTGGCCAGTGAATGATTTATTTATATTTAAAAGCAAACTAGGACCCCTTTTCACGAAAAAGAAAGAAAAATGGGGTTATTAGGTTTGTTGGCTTTACTCAGATCAACCAATTGAATATCACCTACGTTAAATTTAACTAAGTGAAGAAGCAAAAATTAAAAATTATTTTTTATAAATGGGCCAAGTCCCATAGATTGACAGCTAACAGGAGTTAGCGAATACAAATGGTTACAAAAATTATACAAACCAGACAATGCAGTTTCCTAAAGAAATAAAAATGGGTGGAGAGTTAATTTAACAAAATTCTAAACAAGTTATATGCTTTGTGAATTTTCTACATAAAATTTTTTTGTAGGTGATAAATAGCTTCTTTAAGAAACTAGCAAATAATTTAAACATATAGAATTATTTGGTAAATTAATATGCAACTGTTAAATAAAGATCCTTCATATAAGATGTTAAGAACACTAACCAACCAATGTCAAATGTAAAATTAATCACCAAAAACCAATACATCTGTAAAAGATGTTACCAATACTACCAGAAAATACAAAATTATATTAAATCCAGATTAATCTTACAGAGCGATAAGACATATAACGTACAATGCAGTACTAAAATATAAGAAAAAGCATTATCAAATGCCAAAATTTAACTAAATTGTAAAGTAAAAGGTAAACTATGCTTACAATTTGCTGTTAATTCACTTCTTTGATTTAACAATGAATTCTTGCCAAAAAATATGATGATTTCGATTTTTTTCATACAAACATAGAAAACAGGATTCATATAAAGATCTACATGTCCTTGCCATTTCTTAAACTTTTCATTTCACCTTAGGAATCTTATTATCATCTTTTAAACTCCAAAAATATTTAGAAAGTGATGTATTATTACTTTAAGTAGTATTGGTAAAGTACAAGATATGTTGATACCATCTAGTTTTAAAAGAATTCATAGTACTACCAATATAGAATTTTTCAACCGTCGGATTCACTATAGAGATAGTACTAAGATAAACCAGATATTTAGTTAAGCAATTGTTTAACAATGGACATTGCTCAGAATTCTTATAATTACATTGGCTAATATTAATATTTATCTTAGAATGTGTATTATGTTCTAGATTATTAAATTGGTTTAAAATTTTATTATTGTATAACTTTATAATCTTCTCAAGATTATTGGTGCAGGTATAACCTAGTTTTCATGTGTTTCTGTTAAATATTTTACTAAGAGGGTTGATTTTAGGAAAATGTTTATCAATCAAATGGAGGAATTTATGGCCTAATTTAGTACTGACTAATTGATTAAATGGGGATGTATAGCAAATGAACTTCCTATTTCTATTTCTTGAACTTATACATTGGATTGGTTTAGAGGTATGAGTAACAAAAGCAGCTGCATTTTTATCCTGTTTGATATTATGGATTTTTACCTTTCCAACTCCAAGGATCTCCTTACCCTGGCTTTGGAATATCCTAACATCTCCAGTGAAGAGATAAATATAATAATGGACTGTAGAAGATCAGTTCTCATAATGAACCGTGGGTTAAAACCTCTAATGATTACTTTGATATTTTAATTGGATCATTAGATTCCGTAGAGTCTTCTGATCTTGTAGGATTTGTTATTTTATACCTTAGTGCCTATGAAAATATCAATGTTGATAATGTTACATTTTTATTACATTTATCGACATGAATACCCGACAAATTTCTGTGTAGGAAACAGATTCGATTCCTGTTGGAAGACACATATTTCCTCCGAATTTTCTCGGACATTCAGGCCGGTAAATTTAATTAATACTGTTTATTGTAAAAAAGAGCATTTACTTAAATTAAATATCTATAAAAATAGCGTATAAACAGAAAATATTTAAATAATTGCCGGACAAAGTTCATTTTAATATATATATATATATATATATATATATATATATATATATATATATATATATATATTCATCAACAAACTGTTTCGCTGTATCACAGCTCCTCAGTGTGACTAAATGTCAGATTGCTTCAAGCCAGTATCGAAACCCGACTGATTTGACATCAGTCAGATATCTCTCTCTCTCTCACACACACACACACACACACGCACACATATATATATGTGTGTGTGTGTACTTGACGTAATTTTCAGTTGACAATATGAATTCAATAGCGTTTTCTAAATTCTTCCAGTTACAAAGGACATTTGGTTTTGTTATTATTAGTTACTTTGTTTTAAAAAATTAATTTCGTTTTTGCCTTAAAAAAGTCCACATTGGACGAAACGCGCCGGTTAATATTAGACTTCTCCTATTGTCTTTTTACATTTATAAATATTGTCTTTTCTACAGGTTAACCCTGAGTTAACCCTATAAATTATATATATATATATATATATATATATATATATATATATATGATTGTTTGCGTTGAAGAGGTGGCAACAAGGTTACGGTTTCTGATGACGACTGATCTTTGGATTAATAGAGATCTGTGTAATTAAATATAAAAGAAGATTTAGATTAGGATTAAATTGGTGTTATTCTGCGAAATGTTCTTGACCATGAAACTTTAACACAAGATAATCCCATACGGATTAAACAAAGGTTTCTAAAAGTTCTTTCTTTCATTTGTCGTTGTGTAGTTGACGAGGCCAATACAGGAAATGTGGTCTGTAAGAAGAACTAAAAAGTGGGTGTGGTCAAGGATGTCTTGGATTAAAGTATTCGAAGAAGAAGGAGGAGGAGAAGGAAGAGAAAGAAGATAGAAAAGGATGGAGAAATATAAAGACCTGTTAAGAAAAAGAAAGGTAAAAATACTTTAGGCTGAATACAAAGAAGAAAAACAATGTTGGGAAAGAGGTGTAAAGAAGCAGATAGTGAATATCAAGAAGAAGAAGTAGAAGAAGAAGATGATGATGATGATGATGATGAAGAAGAAGGAGAGGAAGAAGGAAGAGAAGAAGAGGAAGAAAAAGAATAAGGAGCAATTAACAGTAATAATAATAATAAGAGTGAAGAATGAAGATCAACAAGAACATAGACTCTAAGATACAGAGTCGGTAAATAATAAGAAAGGTAGAAAAGATTGAAGAAGAAGAAGAAGGAGGAGGAGGAGTAGAAGAAGAAGGAGGAGAAATACGGTGAAGTTTATAGGTAAAGCTAAAAGAAGGTATGAAAAAAGTCAAGAAAGCAATATGGTTAAAAGGGCGAAGAAAAAATAGTGAAGAAAATGGAAAAAACAGGTCGGCAAAAAAGGATAAAGAATACAAAGGTTGAAAAGAATAATGGTGAAGAAAATGAAGAGTGCTAAAAATATTGAAA